GAAGACCTGCCACGCAGGTGCAAGTAACGATAAACGTCACTTCCCTACCCGGGGAGCCAATGCCGGGTCACCAAAATGGAAGAGACCCGGGCCGGGATACCATACCGGCGAATCAAATAGAATAGAATAGGACAATTACATTTAATCACATCCATCCGGAGTAACCTGCAGACGCTCATGGCCCAGGGTCGCAGAGCCACCATCAACTGGATCCCGAGCCATGTGGGTATCCCCGGCAATGATGCAGCAGATGAGGCTGCTAAGACAGCAGCGCTTGAGGCACAGCCACATGCTGCAATCTCCATCAGCGGCAACCAGATTATGCTATAGGCTGCCATTGCGGCCAGTCGCCCACTCCCTGACCCTGGGGATTCACGGAACCGCCGCTGGTATGACAGGGAGACTCATCGGGCACCCCGTCCAAGTATTCGGATGCAGACCAGGGAGCTGCGGGTACATATCCGCTGCCTACACTTAGGGTATCCCACCACTGCACGGATAGTTAAACAAGCAAAAGAGGAGCTCTGTGCCCACTGTTACCAGATAGTTCCAAAACCCCTGGTGCACTACCTGTTAGACTGCCCAGCTACGGTGTCCCTTCGCCGCAGACACTTCCCAATGACCCCAATGGGACAGGTCCGGGAGGATGAGGCGGCACATCTAGTGTACCTAGCCATCAGAGACCTGGAGATGTCACCCCCTCCCGCTGAAGTTGCTGTGAAGGCCTGTTGAGGGCCTATGTTGCACTCCACACTAACCACCATTAGAGCAAACTAACTTTTGGGACATCATTTGTCCATAGAACCAGAGAGGAACCCCTCTTCTCACCGAAGGACTGCCACACAAGTAAGAGAAATAGAGATAAATGACACTTTCCTACCCGGGGATCCAATGCCGGGTCACCAAATTGGAAGAGACCCAGGCCGGGATCCATACTGGCAAATCACGTAGAAGAAGAACAAGGTTCGATTCACGGTGAGGGTAGAAACATTGGATGTGTTTCCTTACACCGGTTGTCTATGTTGCCCATCAGTAAAATGGGTACCTGGGAGTTAGTCAACTGGCGTGGGTCGCATCCTGGGACAAAAATTGACCTAATTTGCCTGAAATGCTCAGCATAACAAGTGGCTTTCTACATATTAGTACAATGGAACCTCAAATTTCGAACATATTGCTTATCAAACTCTTCGAAAATCGGCCATTTTTTTTGAACCATTTTTGTCCCTATTATCGAACTCGCCCCTATTTTCGAACCGCCGGGTGCCAGACCTGTCTGCCAGCCCACTCTGTCCGCATCCCTGCATCTCTATGAAATGTAGTTTTTTTGTGAATATTTTTGGTTTTCTGGAATGGATTAATTGTATTTCCATTATTTCTTATGGGAAACATTGCTTCACTTTTCAAACTTTTCAAATTTAGAACTAGCTCCTGGGATGGATTAAGTTCAAAATTTGAGGTTCCACTGCATGTTATTGATGTCAGCTAGACCTGTATACCATGTACATGTATTTGTAGAAATAAAGATTATTATTATTATTATTATTATTATATAGAAACCTGCTTGCTATGTAAAGGATTTTGGGCAAATTAGGTCAATTTTTTCCCAGGATGCTACTCACACCAGTCGACTAATGTGGCATGCAAAGAGTATGTAACCTTTATTCGGCGCATGTACACACCCTCATTGAAAGGCTATCTCCCCCAACCAGCGAACCAGCATTAAGGATCGGATGATGGGGCCCCGTTGTTCGATCAGTACCCAGGTTCAAGCCAATGAGAAGATGGTTTTAGCAATCACAGAGGTGTTGTAGGTACCATCCGCCTGTCTGCACTTATCATTCCCATTCTAGAGCTGGTTGAAGCACGATCTGCTCTCTAGTGGCTTCTATTCTGCCTTGCTTACCGTGGAGTGCACTAATACCTATTGTTGTACATAGTGTATATAGTGTACATACTTCTTTTCTTACTTGGTGAAGCATAATATAAGTCAAAAGTTTTTCTACTGTGTTTATTTTGCTCCCTTTACACCCAGGATAACAGACCTTTGGATTCCTGGTTTGTAATAACTAACACTCAGGTACCCATTTTATACTGATGGGTAAACATAGACAAAGGTGTAAGGAAACACGCCCAATGTTTCAACCCTTGCTGGGAATCGAACCCGTGCCCTGAACGTGTGAAGGGAGAGCGTTGCCAACCAGGCCATGGGCCACCTTCATCATAAATTTACTCGGATCTTAACCAGGAGGGCTATTACCCCAAGATAACCCAAGGAAGTCCAGAGTGAGGCTTTGGACATCTTTCCCAGGATGCGACGCACAACAGTCGGCTCACACTAACTTGTTCAGCTATGAAAACTTAGGGGACCAGTCCCTGGATCCTTTATGTACCTCTGTAATCTTTTGATTACCGCCCACAGGATTGGTATGGGGTGCATAATAAAGATAAACTGAAAGCTCACACCCAGGTACCTATTTCGTTTTATGAACAGGGTCAGTAGGTGAAAAGAAACAAGGAGACCCCGTGGCCTGGCTGGGGAATCCAGGTTCGATTCCCGGGAGCGTTGGGAACACTGGACGAGTTTCCTTACTCTTATTCACCCAGCAAGTAGGTATCTAGGTGTTAGTCGACTGGTGTGGGTCGCATCCTGGGGGACAAGATTGAGGACCCCAGTGGAAATAAGACAGATAGTCACTAGACAACGGACTTCCTGTCTTGGGTTATCATGGGTGGCTAACCCTTCGAACAAAATCTCATCTTATCCCGTCTCTGGAACAGAGGATTACAATTTATAGTTTTATCTCAATGGAATTTTTATACAATTCAATAATATTGCATTGAGCAAACATAAGCATTGCTTTTTAATTCTCCTTAAAAGTTAAAAAAAAGGAACATAACGCCTTTCTTAAATCAGACTGATAATTGTGAGGATTGAATGTTTATAAACAATCTGTTCGAGTCTGCCTTCGAAACTGTTAGAATGCGTTTTCTCTGTTTATTCTGTGTAATTTGCCAGGAATTTGCGCATGTAACGATAACGTGTCGACTTAAGTTGTATAAATGAATAACAACTGTCATCCGCATGTAAAGAAAATAAAAAAAATAATATAAAGGAATATTAATTAACAAAGTATTAATTGTGAACGAGTTTCTTACATCTCAGACTGATGTTCAATTCAAATTCAAAGTTTATTCTCTATAAGGATTACAATGCTGAGTTTACAGAAATTTGGTTATTGTGTGGTTTACATGTAGTAAAATTGTGATTACAGAGTGTACCACTAGAACGCTTAGCATGGCTAGGCATTTCGGGCAGACTTAGTTTTATTCTTAATTGTAAAATATTACAAATTATGAGGTAAGTTGGTATTATGGCTAAGTGACTAAATACTAGTTTGTGAGTTTAGCAATATGAATGCTTTTGTTTTGGCACAGTACATAGTTTCAGTATTGGAGTATCACAGGATTCATTATTTTATGATTGAGATTAATATTTCTGTTTATGGTCAAATGGGTGAGTGTAAGTGTGAACCACCAGGTTGTATTCGTGTAGTTAGTTGACGGGGTGTATCAGGGAGATAAGATGTTTTCTAATGGTAGTTTTGAAGGTGATGAATGTGTCTGCAGTTCTAGAGTTCTCAGGTAGGGTATTCCAGATTTTAGGGCCTTCGACATACATTGAATTTTTGTAAAGGTTTAGTCAGACACGGGGAATGTCGTAGAGATGTTTGTGTCTGGTGTTATGTCTGTGGGTTCTGTCACAACTATCAAGAAAGCGTTTTAGGTCAAGGTTGATATTAGAGTTTAAGGCCCTGTAGATGTAGATTGCACAGTAGTAAGTGTGGATGTACTGAACTGGGAGTAAGTTTAGGTCTATGAAGAGTGGGGGGGGGGGTGTTGCCAGGGATGGGATTTAGTGATTATTCTTACTGCAGCTTTTTGTTGGGTTATTATTGGCTTTAGGTGTGTTGCTGCAGTTGATCCCCAAGCACAAATAGCATAGGTGAGGTATGGATAAATAAGTGAGTGGTATAGTGTGAGAAGGGCATTTTGCGGCACGTAGTATCGTATCTTGGAGAGGATCCCAACCGTTTTAAATATTTTCATCACCTGGTAGAGGCTTGCGAGCTTTTTAGTATATGGCACAAAGAAGAGTAATTTTTTTGAGATGGGGGGGGGGGGATTAGTTTCTCTTGTAACTGTTTTATACTGGGTTTTCTTTCCTTGCTTGAAAGACTAATAAATATGTTGAGGCACCTCGGTTTAGTCAACATAATCATGGGTACTGACCGGTAACTCTCAGAAACATCAATGAAAATACCACTTATTTTAGTTTATTACTTTGATCAGAGTTATAATGTACATATGATACATGTGTAGGTTTTCTATACATCTTAAACTTCAACGATTTCTCTAGCTTCTAAATACTACAGAAATTAAAAAAATGGTAGAGTTTCTAGTGAAGACAAGTCTTACTGGTGCGACGTTAAATGGAGTACACAGGGTAGATAGCCATAATTTATCGTCAGTGCCTTGCATAATTTAGTGTTTATGGCAATCACTGTATAAATGTATATTAGTCTAGAAAACAGTGGTTAACTTATCCCGAAACGCCTTTTAAGGTTTCCAGAAGAAGAGTTGTTCAGTGCGGAGTTAATCTGTCCATTGTTTTGTGATTTTTTTTCTTTATAAACCTCTTAGTGCAAGAACTTTACTAGATAATAATAAAGTCGTGTCCATTTATGAGTTATGAATACACAAATAACTTGAACATAGGAGAGAACAGCTCACGACTTGGACCATTGACACGAGGTTCACGTCCGACCGAAATGTTGAGTTTCTCTCTCCTGTGTACCGCTGAGCTGTGTGTTGTTCCAGTCACAGTATTGTTTCTTTTTGTTCTTTATGAGTGATGAAATTCGTTAAAATGATATAAATTCGGTGCCAACAAAATATAATGACCAGTAATATTTTTAATATATTTAAAATCTAATTTCAACAGTGGCGATGATCCTGCCATCTCACCTGATTGGATCACCTCTAGTGAGCGCTCCTGTGCCTTTCCGATGCTTCACTGATGCTCTCTCACTTGACGATTGGGCCCACAGTCACTCCCATATAGGTAACTCAAGATTTTCACTCTAATATAATGTTTTCTTGCCCAGGTAGCTAGCTAAATGAACCTGTCCTCACTGGGATATATATAATAATATACTTAACATACTAAGCACATAGTGTATATATAATACAGTTGAGTTACTTGTGAAGTTGTAAACATCTAACCCAAAAATATGTATAGAATTAGGTGGTTATAATTATAACCTTAATTTTTAAAGGGGTGGATGGGTAAGCCAGCGGAAGGCCTCGGTCAGATGACCAAAAGCTCCAGCTGCAGATCATCATATGATGATCCGCAGCTCCAAGACTCTGACACAAAACAAAGCACTCTTCCTTTCGTTCATGTGATCGATTAGAATCAATCTAAGTAACATTGCTGAGGGTAGTGTGAGAAATTATATGGGTGAATTTCACAGGTACAGTCCTGAATTAATATTTCACTTGCATAATTGGAGAGAGCTCTGGCACTGCTATAGTTGTACCTCGGAGGCAGGTGGGACTTTTAACGACGAGGCCCCTGATCGTTAAACCCTTAGCACCTGGTTTGCTGGTTGGGAGGCAGCCTATATGGGTGTGTGACATACACCGAATAAATTGTAATATACTCTTAGCATGCCACAACTGTCATCATTTTTAATTATCTTTCTTGGTCAAGAGAGGGGAAAGAGACAATGAACAGCACACGGAAGTACTTCAACGGCCGGTGTCTAGAGCTCAGCAACCTCTCGGTCACTCAGGAAGACACACCAGCTCACCGCACCTTCTTCCGTCACAGGACATACATGTCTTCCTGTCCATACATTGAATACGACAACACCATCTTCTCTGCAACTATCGTCTCTGAGGTCTGAATAATCTAGCAGCATAGTGCAATACATTTTTCTTTTAAGATTTTGCTAATTTTTTCCTTTGAAATGCAGTTTAGAGAACAAGTTTAAGTCATGAAATCGTGATAACACGATTACTAACCACGGAACGGGTGGGGTTAAACCTGTGGCGAGTGAGTCGTAAAACTCCAAGTCAGTGTATAGCCTATAAATATACTTAGTTGGATGAGTGTTATTGTAGCCAGCTGGCCCAGTGGTTTGACATCTCACTTGCCATGGGTTCTAACCACACCGTTCCGTGGTAAGTTTGATCATTCATCCATCTTCTCTGTAATTGTCTTGTCGCTAAGATTTAAATCTACCGGCAGAGTGAAGTACTTTTTTTTCATTAAGATAGTACTCAAATTTTACATTAAAATGTAGTTTAAGGAGCAAGATTGTTTAAATTTTATGTGCAACTCTGCGCCATCCGAGAAAGATATCCCTGGATTCCATAACCCCATCTCCCTGTGCCTCAGTGCACGCGATTGGAATAGTGCAGAGTGCGGTATAAGGTGATAATGCAGTTGAATAATAGTGCTGAAAATTTGGAGGGAGTCAGAAGAGGCATTTACAAATCATCATATGGAAACTAATCTCCTAAGTTTATACAATAAAACATTTATAGGCATAAAGTCATTCAGAATTACAATAAAGTAACAATCTAGACCCCAGAGTGGAAACTGACTGTGACTGTGACTAGATTCTAGATTATCATTATATCAAAGGTGTATAATGATAGCATAATAAATAAGTAACATGTGCAACAAAGCTGCAAAGCAGGCAATAGTCCATGTGCAACACAAGTGTTGCACATGGACTTATTCACCTTTGCAGATTATGTCCGAAATGCTCTGCATAACTAAGAGCTTTCTGCATGCACACTCAGCTGTCACCTGTCTCTCTACAACCATTGTATCGTGTTGAAATAAAACCTTAATGTTTAATGTGTAACTACATGTGCTGTTTCAGTTTCACCTGGTGTGTGATGAGCTACACCTGCAACCCTTCTACCAGATGTTGTTTAATGTGGGCGGGATACTTGGCAGCTTCATAGGTGGCCACATTGGAGACAGGTGAAATAACATTTATTTACTTGAGGAAAATCTTGAAGTAGTATTTTTATTCTTTTTACAAGTATTGCATCGTTCATAGCCTTCTGTTAGGTCTTATATGTTCTAGGCATCTGGTGTGCAAGTGAGCCATATGTGTTTTAATACGTCTCATATGTTCTAGTAAGCCTCAGGTGTTCTAGTAGGCCTCAGTGTTCTAATAGGCCTCAGTTGTTCTAGTTGGTCTTCGTGAATGACGTATTAGAACGAGTGGTTGACAATAATGACCGCTGGAGTCACCCTATTTATAACCTAAACACTTAACCTAACTTAACCTTACTAATCGTAGTTCCTGGCATGTAGCAGGCCGGCAGGCAGCCGGCAGTAACGGCCTCGTTGATCAGGCAAGCACTAAACAAGCCTGGCCGACGGCTGGGCTGCGAGATTTGGAAAGCTGTCGAAACCTTTCAGGGGTATATCAAAGGCAGGGAAAAAGGAGAGTAAATGTACCATGAAAGTTTCTGCAGTCACTGGAAGAGGGAGTCGCCGCTGATACAGACATCTCACAGAAGCTTCTAATCTCAGTGGAACAGCGTTGCACCTGCTACATGCCAGGACCACGGTTCAAGTCCCCGTCTGTTTTTCTGTATATTCATTGGCAGTCGTTCTTTACCACTCATTTTAATTTATACTTGTGTGTGTGTATGTGTGTGTGTGTGTGTGTGTGTGTGTGGTGTGTGTGTGTGTGTGTGTGTGTGTGTGTGTGGTACTCACTTAGTTGAGGTTGCAGGGGTCGAGTCCGAGCTAATGGCCCCGCCTCTTCCTGGTCGCTACTAGGTCACTCTCCTTGAACCGTGAGCTTTATCATACCTCCGCATACTCCAATATGGGCCTAACGTACACGGTGTACAGGGTTCTGAACGATTCCTGTGTGTGTGTGTGTGTGTGTGTGTGTGTGTGTGTGTGTGTGTGTGTGTGTGTGTGTGTGTGTGTGTGTGTAACACCGGGCTCGTTAAAAAAAAAACTTGTCAGTTTTTTTGCCCTAAACTATAGGATGTGCTTATTTCCAGGTTTGGTCGCAGACGAGCAGTGCAGATTGGTTGCATTGCCAACATCCTGTCAGTTCTTGGCACCACTCTAGTACCAGTCTACTCATTCATTCTGGTGATGAGAATCATCACAGGTTGTACTTGTATTGGAACGCTCATCCCCGCCTGGAACATGGGTAAGATAGTTATATATGAACTCTGACACACATTTAATGTATTTTTCGTATTTCTAATGAATTAGTTGTTTAGGTTATTAAGTTTTTAAAGCCAGTCAATTAAGCGAGAGTCGCCAGTCACGAATAATTATATAGTGGAATATAAGGATTAGAATAAGCTCAACTGTATTCATACCTAGAGATATTCATTCTAGTACATGAGTGATCGACACCATGTCCAGCCCTTCTAGAGCAGGGTAGGTGCCTGAGCCAGAGCTTGCAGCTCACAAGACTGTCATTCCCCATTAGCCCCCCTGGGCGGGGATGGCAGACCAGAGAGGCCTAGCTTGTGGCTAGGCCTGGGACAGTTGGTCCCAAAGATGAGGAGGTACTTGTGCCTCCTCCCATGGGAGACTTAGGTCTCAGATACTCCCTACACAGGGAGCCAAGGCCGGGCCACCACTTGGAAAAGGCCCGGGCCGGGAGAATACCGGCGAATCTTTAATAATAAGTAATAAAGTACATGAGTATACGACTGACATGTGTGTATTTTGACCGTATCTGGAAATAATTATAAGAATAAAATACAAGTAAATAGTGACAATGAAAAGGGTAATTTTTAAGCCATTATAAATTTAGTTGATCTCACGATGAGTGGCACTTAAAACTATACCAGGAGGGATGGTGGGAGAATGGTAGGTAGGTAGGAAGGGAAGGATGGGGGAGAGAGAGGTAGGTAAGTAGGTACGCACGTAGGGAGGGACGGGGGGAGAGGTAGGTAAAGACGGAGTGAGGGAGGCAGTTGCAATGCAACTTGGATATTCATTATTCCTTAGCTGTGAAAAAAATAAGTAGAGCAACTTCCTGCCTCTCTGCAGGGCAGACCAGACCCGCTGGTTATGTTTGTTTCTCGGTGCACCTTTCCCTTCCGAGCGACAAAGCTCATCCCAGGAGAATGGATCCTAGGGACTCCACACACACACACACACACACACACACACACACACACTCGTGGAGGAGTCACGCAGTTTGAGCTCGTGTTTTGGTGGTAATTTCTGACTGTACCATAAGGAATAGTGTGGGATATAGGTGTGTGCACGCATTAGAGTGAATATAATCACTTAAGCCCCGAAAAAAGGAAATATAAGTGATCACAGAAAAGCAATTTAGTAAATAGTGACAGTTACTATGTGGGGGCTGTTGGAAGGAAGGTGAACGGTTGTGTCAGCCCTAAATAGTGTTGCCATAATAACGCAGTGGGGTATTTGAAGAATAAGTGCGACTCAAGATCAGGGAGATAAAAGATATGTATAGATGTGTCAGTAAATACAGTGAGTGAAAAAAAAATAGATGAGCTAGAGACCACAGTGCCTACAGGAAGTTAGTGGAAAAATTACCGAGAAGCATCAAGCATTTGCATACTGGGACCCAGGAGGACGACAACATTACTCCACTGCCAGCCGCAAGTAATATTCACCTAGTTTGAGTTGCATGGGGTCAGCACCAGTCTCTAGCTGGAAATTGGGGGTCACTCTCCTCGAGCAATCAGAATTAGAATAAGCAGCATTTACTGGCATTTCATAGAATTTATTGAGGTTTAGGAGAGTTAAGCAGTTAATGATAGATAGCCTAGTATGAGAGGTAGCCTAGCAAAGCCTAGCATACAGAATTGAACGTAATTTTAGGCACAAGATAGTACAGTGGGAACCAAGAGATTGGGTACATCTGCAAAACATGTGTAGTACATACGAGGGAAATAAGGACTGCTTACATAAACACACGCATACACACACACATACACACACACACAACACACACAACACACACACAACACACACACACACACACACACACACACACACACACACACACCACACACACACACACACACACACACACAGCCCCTTGTAAGACTGAGATGATCAGAGACTTGGTGGACAGTGTCAACAGTTCTTGCTAGAGTGTCTCACAAGGAGGCAGATATTACACACACATACACACACACACACACACACACACACAGACACAGGCACACACACACAGACGTAGTGTAGTGGGTCACAAGCGCCAGACTCCGAGAATCTTAGTGCTTTTAGGGCGTGTTTTAGCAGCTAGAAGCAACCAGTGTTAGTGACAACGTCAGTGAACAACCCTACAAGTGATAACCAAAGTATTAGCAAAAATAAATAAAGTAAAGGTGAGAGAAAGCCTGAAATTATACAACAAAATTTCAAAGTGCCAGTTCGTTGAGGCCTAGTTGGCACTTGTTGCCACATTGTTACACATATACAAAGTACAAAGCGAGTGACTAAAGAGAAAAGATCAAATAGAATTAAGAGAGGTTGGCTAACGACAAACTGTGATGTAGCACACAGCGTGAACAAGCTAGCCAGAAAGGGGATATATATATATATATATATATATATATATATATATATATATATATATATATATATATATATATATATATATATATATATATATATATATATATACATACATATACATAAATATATATAAGCAGAGGTGGTGCAGCAGTAGGCCTGAGGAAGTAGCGCCGCCATAACAGGTTGGGTGTCATCACAAATAAGCAGTGTACTTACCAAAAGTGAAGTGTAAATTATAAAAGTAGCAGTATACAAGTGATAAGTGTGGTAAATGAGGACTCAAAAGGGCAACGAGAAAAGAATAGCTGAAGAAGTCAGCGGCGGAAGGGCGAGGTGCACGAGTCATCGTACAGCGAGCATCGTACAGCGAGCATCGTACATTAGGCATCTGGATGGACGTCCCCTCTGAGGAGTAACGTTACAAATCACCTGTTTGTGGTTGGCGGGAAGTTTTGAGTGTAGAGCCGGCCCTGCGATCACTGGTAGCTGGCTACACAAAAACCCTGCTCCAAGGGATAT